CCTTGCTCGCTGACTGCGACCTTCAGCATTATCCATCCGAGAAACTTTCATCAGGTCACAGTGGTCCTGTTGTCCATCCATCCCAGTTCTAAGGATAGCGGGACAGACCAAAGGGGACATTCTATCAAAAGGTTAGGAAACACCAAAGAAGAGTTACAGACTGGAGGGAGGCTTAGGGATCATGACAAGTAAAGATAATGTGGGGTCCTGGATTGGATTCTGGAATAGAAAAGGGTCATTAGTGGGCAAACAAATGAAACACAAATGAATTCTTTTACATAGCAATATTCTGTAGATATGGATTTTTTTTTTTTTTTTTAGTGACAGGCACAGTTAGAAGCAAGGTGAAGGATTTATAGGAAATTTACACTACTGCAGCATTTGCCTAACTCTAAAATTCTTTCAAATGAAAAGAACACTAATACGTACAGTATTTCATGTAGGCAGATTAGTGCGATATAGTGGGGGCATTTTTGATCCATTGTGATAATCTCTGCTCTTTAAGTAGTTAGGGCTTAACGTGCTTATTGATTTGTTTGATTTAAGCCTATCATGTAGCTATTTATTAGAACACTGTGCTTGGGGCTGGGGATTTAGCTCAGCGGCAAAAGCGCCTGCCTGGCAAGTGTAAGGTAGTGAGTTCGTTTCCCGGTACCGGAGAAAAACCAAAAAAAAACACAAAAAAACAAAAAACACTGTGCTCTTTTTTTTCCCTGTTTTCTTCTATTAGCTTAATTCTTGTTTTCACTGTCACTTTTTTTTTCCCCACAGTGTTGATGCATGAATGGACCAAATCAAGCCTGCCACCTGGTTTTGGAAATACGGTTTTATTGGAATTCCATGTGTTTTTACCGATGGCCCACATCTGCTTTCACGTTTCAGTAGCAGAGATGAGGTGAGGGGTATGTCTTGTAGTTTGGAAAGCTGGATAAATCTTCTGTCTGATTGCTCATAAAAGTTTGCCAATTTCTGAGCAAAGTTCTATAAATCTCTGTGTTTTAAGTCCTCAAAACGATCCTCATTTATTCCCAGTAATCTGCCCCACTCACAAATTTCTGTCTCTACAGTGGGCTTGATGCCACTTCCATCCAGGCCAGAGCTGTGCTACATGAAGAATAGAAGCACTGTGCCTGCAATGGTTCCAAGGTATGGTCCTATGTGCGTTGCCTCGTCACCTCTCCGTCATAACCTTCACTATTACTGCTTGGCCACTTTCCACGTACCAGGACCTTAAAAGGTCTGTGTGGCATCTTGTGAATTCCCATTGTGTGGATGTGGCTCTTTTTTTAAAAATGAAACAGTTTCAGAGAGGCCAATTGACTTGCCCAGGTCCTGTGTTTCTCTCTTCAGTGTGCAGTGGCAGGCCCAGGTTTGTACCAATGCTTTCTGGCTCCCCATTCCCCATGCTTCTGGAGGTCCAGCTGCCTCTCCAGGCTGTTTCTGTGTGTGTGTGTCCACATGTGCCTGGGAGCAGCATTAGCAGTTACTCCTAGCCAGCATTACCACCTTGGGCCTGCGCTGATGACAATGCCTGCATGTGTCTGTAAAGAACAGGGTCTCTTTGAAAATGAAATCCTTAGTACATTTGAAAAACTGACAGTTGGCATTCCATTTTCACATACCAGTATACTTTCCTTGTTTATGTTTGCTTGAATCAAGATCCAGATAAATCTCACACATTACAGTTTGTGAAGCAGTCCCTTTATCCTTTTGCATTTCTTTGTTAAGTGACAATATAAATACAGGGCTAAGGGTGTAGGTCAATTCTAGATTGCTTCCCTAGCATGCACGAGGCCCTGGGATTGATCCCCAGTGCTGGAAAAACAAATAAACAAAAAACAGAGACAGTATAAATATATACAAATATTGTGTGGATGTTCACGATAGCAAGTAACATGTGGTTTAGATAAGTGTGGACCTTGTCAATGATGGGATCTCTGATGGCTTGTAGAATCCCCATTGTGCAGTGTTGGTGGCTGAGCTCTTACAGTGCTGTTAGTACTTCTTCCACCCTGCTTCTCCCAGCTGTCTTCTTGGACGGTCACTGCCTGCAAAGACTGGGGGTGGGGGCCCTTGTCCTATGTTCATGCAGCTTGTCTTCTGCAGAGTGAAGAACTTTGCATGTTTGTCCTGAAATTTGCTGGGCAGCTGGAACTTGCTGGGCAGCATTAGAGCTGAGAGGCATCTCCAAAGTCCTTCTGTTTGCTTTCCTCAGGTTTGGATCACCAACCTGGTTATGGGGCTGCAGAGGTGCTCAGGTTCTGATACAGCACAAGCATGGATCTGGAGCCCCTGACCTAAATTACTTTTTATTTCTGGAGTGAGATTTTTTGGGGATGAGAAATAATTCATATAACATAAAATTGGCCATTTGAAAATACACACCAATGACTCGTAATAGACACTGCATTGTACACCATCACCTTGATAATTCCAAAGCATTTTCTTTTCTTTTTTTTTGTGGTTTTTCTCTGGTACCGGGAACCGAACTCACGACCTTGCACTTGCCAGGCAGGCACTTTTGCTGCTGAGCTAAATCCCCAGCCCCTCCAAAGCATTTTCGTTACTCTGGAAGAATTATCAGACCTTCCAGCCCTTCCTAACCCCCACCTCTTAGAAGCTATTACTTTTACTTTGTGTCTCTATGCATTTCATGAGTAAACATTTCATATCAGTGACCTCTTACAATAGGTCTGTTGTGACTGGCTTCTTTAATGGCAAAATAGTCTCAAATCCATCCATTTTATAGCATAAGTGAGCACTGCATTCCTTTTTAAAAATATTTTTGACAGTACTAGGCTTTGAACCCAAGGGTACTCAACTACTGAGTTGTATCCCCAGCCTTCCTTCCATTTCATTTTTGAGACAGGGTCTTGCTAAATTGCCCTGGTAGACCCTGAAGTTGTAATCTTCTTGCATTGGCCTCCATCCTTACTAGGATTATAAGTGTGCACCACCAAACCCAGCCCCCAGCCATATTTAAATTTTTTTTTTTGTTGTTTTTTTTTTGGTTTTTCTCCGGTACTGGGAACCGAACTCACGACCTTGCGCTTGCCAGGCAGGCGCTTTGCCGCTGAGCTAAATCCCCAGCCCCCATATTTAAATGTTTAATAAAAAGCCACATTTTATGAATCAGTGAAGATTATGTTTGGGTTGTGTCCACTTTGGGGCTATTGTATGTAATGCTGTTGATAATAGTCCTAAATTCATATTCAACTTTTGTGTATAAAAATATGTCTTCAATTTGTTTGGATGAAAACCTAGAGGTAGAATTTCTGGGCCATACGTTGAGTGTATGTTTAACATATTGAGGAACTGGTTTCCAAAGTGACTTTACAGTTTTACATTCCCAACTACAGAGTATGAGGGTTCCATTTCCTTTATCTGTACTGATACTCTAATCTCCATTATCTGTTGACCTTGGGTAAGTAATTTTGCCGTGGAGAGCTCCACCCAGGTTGGCTGAGAAGCAGAGACCAAAGTAATCCTGTTGTCTCTCCTGGGGTGTTTTGAGACTCAGATGAGACTCAGATAAAGGTTAACCAGTCTAGTTATTTGGATAAGATTAGCCAATCCTAGCACAAGTGGCTGCTTGTGAATGTGGAACAAAAGGCTGGAGAGTTAGAATGAGAAAAGGAAACAGGCTGTGTGCAGTGACAACTTTTTGTTTTTCTTCTAGTCCAGATATTCACAAAATATAAAATTTTGTTACCCTCGCATATGTTGTCAAACTGCTTGCCTGAAAGATGGTTTTGCACCCTCCAGCAATAGTGAGAACACTCTTTGCCCTTGTCATTCCACCACTGCATTTTAAGGAAAATATTTCCAGGGTGATAGGTGATTGTTTAGATAAAGAAAAATAGATAGTTTAAGTCCTATTTTCTTTTAGGTTTAAAAATTTTATTTTAGTACATGTTCGCAGCACATAATGATTGCATTCATCATGGGAAGTAGGTACATGTACATAACTCTTCTTTTTTCATCCATTTCCCCTCCTCATCCTACCTTCAACCCTCCATCTCTTGGTCTCCTAACCTTTTGCCAGCGATCAGCCTCCCTGTTTCCTATATTTGTCTTTTACTTGTTTTTCAATTTATCTGTACTTTAGCTTGCTCATATATGTGAAATCATACCATATTTATACTTACGTGTGTGATTTATGTCAATTAATATCTCAAGCTGGATTGAAATTTTTTTACAAATGACACAAGTATACTCATTTTTATAACAATACTCCACTGTGCATAAATAACCACATTTTCTTTATGCATTCATCTGTTAATGGACATGTAGGGCACATCCGTATTTTAGCTATTAATTGTGTTGCTATAAACATGATTGTGCATATTTCATTGTAATACAATGTCTTTAACTGTTTGGAGAAGATATCTAGAATGGGAATAACTGGGTCAAATGGCATTTGCATTTTTAGTTTCTTTGAGGAAGCTCCATACTGGTTTCCTTAGTGCTATATTAGTTTGTATCCCCACCAACAATGTAGAAAAGTTCCATTTTTCTCTACTGTTTTGACAGCATTTACTATTTGATGTTTTGATAGTAGCCATTCTTTTTGGAATAATATACATTCTCAGCGTTGTTTCAATTTTCATTTCTCTATTGGCTAGAGAAGTGTATCTTCAGCCATATACACTTCTTGTGAAAAGTGTTTATTCATTTCAGTTGCCTATTTTGTGACTGGGTCTTTTGTTGTGTGGGAGTCTAATTTTTTCGAGTTCTTTTTATATTCTAGATACTAGTCCTCTGTCAAAAAACTCTTCCCTGTTCTATAGATTTTTCTCCTTACTCTGTTTTTTGTTTCTTTTTTGTATGCAGAAACTTTAAAATGTGATATAATTACATGTTTATTCCCGATGTTATTTTTTGTGCAACTGAAGTTTTATTTAAAATGTGCTTGCCTGTGCATTATGTCTCCAAGAGTTTTACCTATTTTATTTTTTAGAAGGTAGTTTATGTTTTCACATTTAAATCTTAGGGGCCGGGAATATAGCTCAGTGGCATAAGTGCCTGCCTGGCAAACATGAAGTCATGAGTGTGATTCCTGGTACCAAAAAACAAACAAACAAACAAACATTTAGATCTTAGCCCTATTTTGACTTTTCTGTTAGTACATGAAGAGAGAAAAATATCTGAATTCAAATTTCTGTATGTACACAGCCAATTTGTCTAAAACCGTATGTTTAAAAGTCTATGTTATACCAAGTGCTTGTTTTTGACCACTTTCATAGCCAGTTTTCCTACCACCATTGTTAAAGAGGCTATGGTAACTGTTGTGTGTGCATTTTTATGACTTTTGGCAAAGATCCAATGGCTGAATGTGCCTGGGATTGTTTCTGTGTCCTTTAGTTAACTCCACTGATTCACATATGTGTTTTTGCACTGGTACCATCTCTTTTTTTGTCCATATATCTATGTGCTGTAATGTCAAATCCAGGATTGTGATGCCTCTTGCTTTACTCTTGTTACCCAGGATTGCTTCTGTTATTCTTGGTGTCTTCTGGTTCCATATGAAATTTAGGATTGTTTTCTCTAGTTCTTTGACGATTGCTTTTGGTATTTTGATTGGGATTACATTAAATTTATATATCAGTCTTGAAAGTTTGGCCATTTTGACAATATTGGTCCTTCCTATTCAAGAACAGGGAATATCTTTCCATTTTCTGATGTCATCTTCCACCTTTTTCAGAGTACTGTAGTTATCATTGTAGAGGTCTTTTATTTTCTGGGTTAGATTAATTCCTAAGTATTTAATTTTTCTCTTTATTTCTTTTTTTGAGACAGAGTCTTATGCAGTTCATGCTGTGATTGAACTCACTTTGTAGCTGGCCTCCTACTCGAACTGATCCTCTTTGCTCACCTTCCCAAGTGCTGGTATTACAGACGTGTTCCAGCATGCCTGGTCTATTTAATTTTTTTGATGTTACTGTGAATGGTATTGTTTTCCTAACTTCTCCATCAGTTCATTATTGGTGCACAGAAATACTATTCATTTGTGTGCATTCATTTAGAATTTTATTATTTGCTGAGTTTGGTTATTTTAGGAGTCTTTTGGTGAAATCCTTGGGGTCTTTTATATAAAGGATTAAGTCACTTGCAAGTAATGATAGTTGGACCTCTTCCTTTCCTAC